CCAATTTGACTTGCCCCAGGGCAATAATCTGTACCCTGCAATGCAGATAACATGATCATCACCACAAGATGCTGAGTAAAGGAAAAATTAACAGCACTCACAGATCATTTTTCTGTGATTTTTTTTTTTTCCTCTAAAGGTTTATTGACACACAAATGTGAAAACCAGTTGCTTTCATCAGAAGTTATTCCCTATTTGGGCACCTCCACTTGGCCACACCCCAGGTTCCTCTGCTCAGTACCAAAGGATGCATTAATGCACATCTCCCTCCTCTGCTTTGCTTCCAAGCCCTGCACATCTCCACACAACTGCTACTCCCTGCTGGAACTGGGCTCTGTCTGCCAATCTGTGCAGTTACATTCCCATCGAACTGTGCAAGAAAATGCAGATCCACGATTTTCATCTGGAGGAAACACTGATACTCATTTACCTYATGAAGAAGGGAAAACTTGGCAAAGATATTTAGATACCTAAAGCAGCAACCAGTCCCCAGAAGGAATATATTTCAACCATAAACTAAATGTGATGCATATCTAAATCCTCTGGTGATTCCATATTTTTAAGAACATTTGTCTGATGAGATTTCACTTCATAAAATACTTGAGAATTGTTGTTTAGAATTAAACTTTAAGTTTAAATAAACACAAATAATTACAATTTCATCAGCACACAGGAGCAAATCTGATCCTTAAAAATGGAGGCACAATAACTTGGGCAAACAGAAATTAGGCTCATTTTTTTATAATTTCTCCGATTAAARTTATATATTAGCTAAAGTACAGTGTTATTACTAGACCCTCAGGCTTCAGAGCACATCATGCCACATGTTCATTTGGCTGCTAAAAAGCAGCAACCCAGTGATTAGCACTTTTTTCCAAGGACAGTTGAGATTAATAGTTTGAAGTCATTTCCTTAATTTAACCATGAAACTYGAACATTTAAATTAGAGTCAACTTTAATAAGACTTTATTTCAGAAAACTGTGAGTATGTTAGTCCTTGAGCACTGATTGTAAGATGGATACAGTCCTCACTGTTAGCTGTCTTTTCTGTAATTGGAAACAAATCCCACCTATTAAATTTACAGAACTTGGTAAATTCTATAACAAGCCAACACTTGTCCCTGCAAGACCCAGCAGCTGTGAGTGAAACCATCACCCTACTGAAATCAATAGGTGATTTCCARTGATTTTGATGGTACCAAGCAGGATCTATTTGTTCCAAAAACATTTCCAGTGTGGATGCGGGTGGGATGGGTGAAGGATACAACATCTCTGTGCTTGACTCATCACTGCTCTAAGACCTCCCTTTTCTGAACAGAATCAAAAACAGTTACAGCCTCCTTTCCTAGACAAAAAAGAGAAGGTAGAGGGGATGAGAGAGTAATAAAAGAAATCCTAACTCAYACACACAGGCAAAAATCCTCTGTTCTTCCAAGCAGAGCAACATCCCCAGCCTGGATACAGGCTTTGCAGACATTGCAATGTGGCTGAGGGAATCCCAGTTACCTGCAAATTGTGTTCCTTACTCTTTTTTTTAATGTACTGAAATCCCTTCCTTCTGTGATGCCTCTTGTTCCCTCCCAACCTGAGGAAGCTTTTTTCTCTGGCAAGCACAGACAGCTCCTGTGACCACCTAAAGACTTCTGAAAGCCGGATCCAGGCCCCGTTAACCACAAACCTGCTAAGGGATAGTAAAGCTCTCCCTGGAGCTTCCCCCCCAGAAGCAAATCACAAACTCAGCTCCTGCAGCCTGGGAAGGCTCACTTGACATTCCTCATCAGCAAGGACTCCATTAGCAACTTCCCGTAACACGGAGTGTATTTTAAAACAGCACTGAAAATAAGGGATAATTAAAATGTACGAAGTGTCATCTTCATAAAAGCCACAGGACTAAATAAAGTCTTGGAGGGCCCTCTCCTGTACGTTCCGTATTTCTCTACGTGCACAATGCACCTTCCTCTGTAAAATCCTTACTAGACAAAGCCAGTCTTCTCTGTACCTTTAAAAATATCTGAAGTAGTATTTGATTAGTTCATAAGGCATAGTTCCCGGTATCATTTTTCCTCCAAGCAGAAGACAGTAGCATGCAAAATTAACTCTCAGCTCAGATCTATGAAGATTCAAAATTCAAACCCCATTTAGGCAGTTACTAGGTTAGCAACAATTTGATTCATTACCAAAGAACTAATCTAGACTCAAGAAAATCACTTGCATTTATGCATCTAGCCTAAGAAAATGGTAGCAATTGTCATTCCTCAGACGACAGGATTGTCAAAGCAACAGCTAAGAACTGCACAAATGTGTACTTTTTCCTTTACAAAAAAATATTTACTCTCTCTTGGCAAGGAACTGAGAAATCAGATAGCAAGGATATCACCGTAATGCTAATATTTATGTCTTACTGATTTTTGGTGCTGTGACTTTAGATGAACGAGCAARCAGACCCCATGGAAACAACCTCTCTTACCTTGTCTTGGTGTGATTTATTAACCAGTGCAATTACCAGTGACAAGCCCACAGAGAAATGCACTAAACAGTTCAGAAAGAGGAAAACCTTACCCACATATTTTTTGTGCCAGAGTGACTCCTTTCTCTTACTGCAACCAAAGGAACAGCAACAAAAATACCTACTTAAACAGTGAAGCCYTATTACAACACTCCTAACAAAGGAAAACTGCAAAGACTTATTTTTCTACATGGTTCATTTATTGTTAYTGAACAAAGAAAATAATAGCCTTTATGTTTCCTCACAAAGTAAAGTGATTTGCAGGSGAGAAAACAAGTRGTGACCTYKCCTCCATTTAAAGRGAGTTGGATATGATTTAGAGGGAAKAAAGATGCTCATAAWWTAACAGCAAACTAACAAATACCTCACTTCTTTAATCCTTTCTTAAAAAATGATATGAAAAGGTACAGAAGCGTTTGTGGTAGGCTCTAAATGGTTAATATCTGGCCGGGATTCCCCGCCAACACAAATTCCGATGATTTGCCATTGGATGTTGTCAGCACCAATGTCCTGTTACAGTCCACAGAGATCCTCCCTGCAGCTTTCCTGCCTCGGGCATCTCTGATGTTCGGGATCAGAGTCTGAGGCGTCCCCSTTTATCGGGATCTCTCACTCACCACCCGTGCCCGCACACGCTCCAGGTACCGCTGCTGCTCAGAGCAAGGGAGCAAGCAAAGCACCGAGGTCTAACATGGTAGCTCTGCACAAAAACTAAAGGCATTAAAGCCTTTCTGGATGGTAGTTTGCTTTCCAGGCAAGCCTTTAGCGATGAGCAGCCCTGAAACATTCCCAAGTATTACACAGCTGTTTTACGGCTTCTGGCGTTAAAGAGTTTACCAACACCCTGCCAGCGTCCTCCTACCCTCTGCTTGCATCCATCTTCATATTCAAACCSTAATGCAAATATTATCTGGTTCAAACATCGCTGATCTAAATCAGCAAGTCATACAATACTGTCATATTAAACCGACATCAGGGCTTGTTTTCCTGCAGCATTCCTGGAGCCTGCTTTCTAGATGTAATTACTGCACAATATATATCAGAACCAGAGAGAAAGGCATCACTCCGAGGGCTGAAATTGAGAAGAAATCAATACAAAGAAGATAAATGTTTCGTCAAAAGCTGCAGTGGTATTAACCCTCTCCCCAACTTTCTTTTTGCTTCAAATCATTTTTCCATGTGAGAAGCTGCTGGAAGGAATGGGATGGGATGGGTCTGTCTGTTTAGCACTGCATTTGGGGTTAGATAAATGTATTTCAGGAAGAAAAAATTTAAAAAGAAAGTAAGAAACAAAACGTAAGTGGAAGTTCCTACAAAGCCTCCAGGATGTAACTATTTCTTTACACTTTGCACACCTGGACGCGGCGAACASCCAGGGCTGCCTCGGGAAGGACGGGAGAAGCCGCGGGGGGAACGCAGCTCCCGGGGAAGAGCGGCTCTCGCTGCCCCAGGACCCTCACCCCTCGCGGTCCCCGGCCCATCCCCGCGGGAGGGGRAGCCCAGGGGAAGCAAAGGCGGCGATGGCCGTGGCTGGTGGCCGTGGCTCCCGGCGGACACGCGCGGGTCGGGAGCGCGCCGGGCGGGGCCCGCGCTGCGCGCCGGCGGAGGGAGCGCGCCCCGGGGGGAGCCGGCGGCGCCACAGCGCCCCTGGCGGGCGGCACGGGCACTGCGGGCGGCGGCAGCCCGAGCCCCGCGCGAGTTCCCCCGGGCCGGGGCAGCGGCGGCTCCAGCGCGGCTCCAGCGCGGCACAGCACCGTACAGCACACCCGGCCCGTTACACGGAGCCCCGCGGCCCGGGAGGCGATGCGCAGGCACCGGCCGTGGGGTGCCAAAGCGGGGAGAACGGCGCGGTGGGAGCTGAGTGTCCCCCCCGCCCGCGGAACCCCTCTCCCGCGGGTGCGCGGCGGTGGCTGCACGGATCCAGCCCCGGCGCGGAGCGGGCGCGCAGCCCCGCGGGGCTCCCCCGCCCTGCCAAGGTCAGCAGGCGGCACGGAGAGACCCCCGCCGCGGATACGAGTGGGGTGGGGAGGGCACGGACCCGCGCACCGCCAAGTTCCTGGCGGTGGACCGGGGGGCTGCGATGCGGGGTCGGAGCGCRGAGCCACGCTGCCTTTCGGGGCGTCCAGCGCCGGTCCCGCAGCACAAAGGGAGCTCCAGGCAGCCCCACGAAAGAAGGGCAGCGCACCMGGACCCCCTCCGCCCGCCCCACGGCGCCCGGCGCTGCAATGCACCGGAGACAGGGGACACCGCGCCGGGAGCGCGGAGCCGAACCCGTGCTCCGCTCACGGCCCCRCTCGCGGGCAGCGCTGCCCGCAGCCCGGAGGGTGCTGCGGAGCGGGAGGAGACCCAACGCTGGGGCCGCCCGGGCTAAGGGGCCCCCGCGGTCCCCGGCGCATCTTCCGCGCTCGCGGAGTGCCTCGCCGGCTCCTCACGGGGGTCGCGGACACGTGTGGCAGAGGCACCGAGAGCCCCCCCAGCCGCCGCGCTCACTCACCGGGGAAGCACACCACATCATGGAGCACGGAGCTGGTGATTTTCAAGAAAAAGATCCACCAACACGGTTGCAGTAGCCTCCGCATGTCCAAAGCCGCACATCGAAAGGGGAAAGGGGCTAAAATAATTAACACACAGGGGGAGGAAAAAAAAAAACTAGTAAAAGAAAAAAAAAAAAAAAAAAAAAAAACTTGTTGAAAATAAGTTTCTCCCCGCACCCCTTTTCCTGCGGAAGAAAGCGGGGGGCTCCTGCTCGCCTCCTCTACGGGGAAAAAAAAAATCCCTCCAAGCGCGGGGCAGGGGGAGGACAGAGACGAGCGCCGGCGGGGCGCGGGGAC